CATTTATTCTTTCACTGAAGAAACATGAGAAAATGAAAGAATTGTAATTTTTGAGTGAACTAACCGTTATTATAGTCGATGTTTGGCTGATTGAAATTCTCAAAAATCATGTAATTAACACACTGTATTGGGGAATGTTATACAGACACTTGCCATGTTTCTCCCTCCCTTCTTTGACAGCTGGATGAAATTTGCATGCTTTGCTGATCAAAATACTACTTTGCTCAACTACTTTGAGATTACCCGACTCCAGTTTGTCAAACAAACAATGATTAAAACTAGGAACAAAAGAAAACACTTTTTTTTCAGAACTCGGCTAATATCTTAGGACTGTCACTAATGCACTTTTGGCAATGAATAAACAACTTGTAAATAGCGTTTGTTTACATAACTCACCATCAATAATTAAAATGTCCCGTTCCATATTTGAAAAGTCAACAAATCTGTCAAACAGCATTTGATTTTCTTCTCTGCGGTCATAAAAAATTTAGTCAAGTTTTTGTTCTTCAAATCCAATATTTGCTTGTCGCTTTGCCATTCATTTATAATTTTTCCCCGTCCACTGCTGTGGTAAGAACTGTAATCTTGTTTGCTCAGTGCGATTTGTCGCTTCCTTCAGTAAACACACTTGCCCATGTGTTGGCTTTGTTTGTTTGGAGGCAGTATAGGACACCATTCTAATAAAGTAAAGCAAACATTTAGAAAACTGTCAGTAGAGGCCTTGCGATTAAGCCTTCAGTGGTTTTTGGGATTTGAGCTCACTGTGAGGGAACAATTTACACTACTACATTTCCAGAGCTCTGCTGTTGTCAGGAGACATGGTTGCTATGGAGACAAGGAGAATTTTGGTGGCCTGGCAGCTGTTCTTGATGGTGTGTAGTGGCCATTGTGATGGACATGTGACCACAGTAATACTTCAGGCTGCTAGTGACCCACATTTCTACTAGGGCTGGGTATCGCCAGCAACATAATCATTCGAAACACACTGTGATGTATCTAATGATTCAATGGATTGGTTGAAATCATTGTAATATAATTTTCTGAAAAAGTCACTGTAATACCACATATGTTTTTTTAAGTGTATCCATTCCAATCTCTTTCCTTAATTCTCTTGGCTTCATGCCAATTTGATGAACG